TGCTTTAACTCAACGTTGGTCAAATTAAAACTTATAATTCATCCATGCAAACATTTTACATCACCGTTGGGCAGAAGTAAAATTAATGCACAATTTCTCATGGATCAAAATTATAATATTGTTATTGTCAGAAAATAACAATACCATAATCGCATCAAAATTATTAGAAATTCATTTCTTTTAAAATTAAATTATCCCGTTGGTTCAAATTTAATCAAAGAGAACAATAATTATCAAGCACAGCGGAAACATTAATAATCTTTTCATTTTATTATTTTCCAGAAGCACTAAAAAAATTCATTGTTTTCTGAGCAAAATATCGTTGGATAAAATTTGCACAGAAAATTGTATCAAAATCATTTAAATTCATCAAAAAATATGCATTAAAATTGCTCCTGGAAAATAATAAGAAAATTTATTTCTTCCTTCTTTCATTTCAGCCCGGCGCGGCCCAAGACGCGCTGAAAACGGCTCGGCCCAGCTGTCCTCGCCAGCACAGGCCGCACCCAGGCCACAACCTGGGCCTAGGCCGGCAAAGTGCCGCGCACCCTCGCACCCGCCTGGGCCGGCGATGGCCCGAGGATCCGTGGCCGTTGGTTTTGATCGGACGGTCGCGCGCCGTCTTCGGCCGGATCAAAACCAACGCCGCGCGGGGGGGCCTAAAAACCCTAGGTCATTCGGCTCTTCCCCTTTCTCTCTCTTCGCTCTTTCTCTCTTCTCAGCAGCAGCGAAGACAGCCGCCACCGAGCAGCCGCGAGCGAGGAAAGCAGAGCGGGCGGCCATGGCGAGCCTTGGCGCCGTCGCCGGCGCGCGTGCTCCCCAACGGGTGAGCACGCCACCGTCGAGCGGCCTGGCCGCGGCGCTTCCTTGGCCGAGCACGGCGAGCCCGCACCCCCGGCTCGGCTTCTTCTCCCGTGCCGGCGAAAAGGTTCATCCGACGCACCCTAACCCTAACGCATTTTCCCCTTTCTGATTTTGAGTTTGTTCTTTTCGGGTTTATCCGAATGGGAAAAACTAGGGTTAGGGTTAGGGTTCGTTCTTACCGATTCGATTTCTTTGCTTTCGTTTCTTTCTTTTTCATTCATCCGAATGGAAAACTGGGATTAGGGTTAGGGTTTGACCCTTCTTTCTTTCTTCTTCCCCTTTTCTCTCTTTCGGATTTGCGTCTAGGGTTCTCGGAATCCGACCCTCCCCTTTTCCCTTGTTCCGATTTGATTTGGGAAATTAGGGTTAGGTCTTAGGGTTCGGTTTTCTATTTTCTTTCCTGATCCGCATCAGATCGATCGGTTTCACTTCCCCGATCTGATTTCTTGTCGAACCTGGCTCTGATACCATTGTTAGAGTTCGTTTTTAGTCATGTTCATCGGATCGGGATGTATTGGTAGTAGGAATAGGTGTTGGGGATTCACAGAGAGACAGAGAGAAAGGGGGTGATAGGTTGCAAACCATCAAAAGCCGTAGTGGTCGAAGCTCCGGCCGGGGTTTCGTTGACGGACGCCATCTGCGCGCCGGCATCGACGTTCGGTGGAGAGGGAGTCGGCGCTATGGCGTCCTCGGCGGCGACGTGTGCGTCGGGGTGGCGTTGCCGACGTTGGTGGTGCTTCCCGTCGCTGGCAACGCCCCTTCTCAAGATCGGGTCTAGGGTTAGGATGTCGGTGGGGTGACTGGCGGCGCGGTGAACCTCGTACTGCGAGCCCCGGCCCCCACCTTTCCTTTATAGCACTGTGCGACGGGGGCCCACCAACCATGTAGGGTTGGGCGCCCCCGATCAGGGCGCGAGAACAAGGCCCAAAGGCCATTGGGCCTAATGGCGTGGGAGATCAAACCTAACACATCAATGTAACGAAGTGATGGTTAACGGGCCAATATTCATCTATGGATTAATATATAAGAAGGGAAGAACAAGATTATTGGTTCTATTATTCTGTTTTTGAAGATGTTCTGGTCATTGCCAATGCAACCATGCATATCTAATAACCAACTGGACATCTAGCAACGACAATTTCCCTTGGAGAAAAAGTGTAGTCCGCAGGAGTCCAACTACCAAGAGGGCCGTATGTATATGTTATTATAGGCAATAGTCGAATTAATTAGGACATGTCAAAGAAGAAACTAGTAAACCTAACAAACATGCTATGCTCGGCAAGCAAAATAAATCGAGCCAGATTAAACTACAATAAAAAGGTAGTAGTAGGAATCAATGATGATGATGAAGAGAGTTACCGTACCGTGCTTGAGGAGATGAAGGCGAGGGAGGGCCAATTCTTTGCTGCGATTTTGATCGCCGGTAGAAGTAGAAGATAAGAGGTGGCGGCGGAGGAATTGGTATCGTCGTGGACAATCCAGTCAGCCGTTGGGCTGGGTACGAGCCAAGCCAGATAAATTAGCATGCAGGCCACACCAGCCCACAAAGATACTGGGCCTCCCTTATATATATTTGTTTATTTGATATAGCCAAAGAAAATATGGGGCGCAGTTTAACTCAGTGCACTCTTTTACACGATATTGTTACTATTATAATATATGCACTGGCAAACGTATCCATTTTTGCACGATAATTTATTCAACCATCATGTCATATGTTTTAATTCGTCATGTACCATATCTAGTCGTGCGCACGCAGCCATTTGAAGTACTCCGGTCCCTTTTTATCGGTCGTTCTCGTTTTTCAAAAAATTAAACGTACTTAACTTTGACTAAATATATAAAATAAATATTAATATTTATAATATATAACTAGAATCAATACCCGTGTGTTGCAACGGATTCGATCTCTCTTTCGCATGTGCAAACGATTCTCTTGCGTAATGCAGACTCCAGTAGTCCTGTGACCGGATAGTATACGTTTTTTTATCATTAGGTGTATTTGGTGGTCTTTGTAAGCAGATAGTATACGTTTTTGTACCACCAGGTAGATAATTACTTTAGAGTCTTTTTAGGTGTAAAGATAGAGATTAGTATCATTACCATTGAGGTCGGCCACCAGCCAACGATGACCCCTCTGCAGTCCAGAAAAATAAATCTACGAAGGGGTCGTGCCCGCTCCTCTGGCCACCGGTGGATCACTGGGTTGGGAGAGGGGATGGGGACTGAGGTGATGGTGTGGGGGAGGGCAGCGGTCTATGAGAAAGAGCAGTTGCGGGTATAGGCGGATAATCTGAGCACACTGACGACTATGAGAAGAGAAGAGAAGAGAAGACAATGAGATTAGAATCTCAGAGGAGCACACGAGAAAACAGCTGCCAATGAAAACTGCTGCACTGTTACTAGGGGTGAAAATGGTATGAATATTTTCTAACCGTATTCGAGACCGAATCCGTTTAGAGAGGTTCATATCTGTCCGTATCCTGAGTCTGAATATTCAACATCCGATGTCGTATCCGTATCCGAATACTCAAATCGCATATTTATGATGCCGATATCCAATCGTATCCTATCCGGTATGACTGACACTATCCGTATTCGAATCCGAATCCGGAAAGAAATATGAAAACAAATATAATATCAGTGATATCCGTTCCGTTTTCATCCCTAACTGTTACAATACAGGCACTTGAATCATGTGATGTGAAAACAAATTCGTTTACAACTAACTCCAGTAAATTCCAAGTCTTTCTGGGCCATATATTAGTGGGATGCCAAATCTTCTTGAACCAATGAGATTCTGCTTGGCTTGCAATCGGCTGCTCCATCTCCATAAGCCATAAGGCAACCAGTCATGCTGTTGACACTAGATTGATCCCGGATCACACACCAGCAGGGCTTTGGATGCCCAGGCCGCCACGAATCGAAGAACGAAGCGAAGATGTCACACTTTCATGGTGAAGAACGGAGAGGTTTACAAGCAAACCACCAAAGGATAACCAACGTGTTTTCGTGACGAAAAAACCGGCTAGTTTTCAGGCAAACTAGCAAAGAGACCGTCGAAGTTGTTGCCCGGGAGGGACCTAGTCGGGGCAAAGACATCGCTGGGTTGCCCTAGATCGTCTGACAAGCCTAGGACGTCATCCTTGATCGTCGGATCAAGTGATGAACAGCATGAGGGTTGAAGAAGAAGGTAAAAGGATTGTAATAGATTGATTTTATCGATTGCGTAGTTAGAATACCTCAATCGGCTGTCACCCTTTACATATAGGGCGGCTGGTCTTCCCTGTAAAAAAATAGTCTAACACGGAGTCATGGTCTAGTTCGGCCAACCTGTACGCATATCAACCAATCCAATTACAAAGCCGAACTGACTTTAGTTGTACGTGCGTGTAACATCTGGACTGCCTTGTTATTTATGTAGCCTGTTTTTGCCATCACCGACCAGCAACTTAATTAATTAACCAAATAAACAACTCCGTGACCTTCCTTCATCACGTGACCATCAATCAAATAGTGCTGCTCTCGGACTCTTCTTGCCTTTTATAGTTGTCATCCATCAATGAATAAACAAATCTGAGTTTACTTTCCTTTGTTTAGCGAGCATCAACATGCAGATCCGATTTGTTCTCTAATACCTGGAAACCAATGCACAGCACAGCAGCACCTAGAGTCCGTGTGCTAGACGTACGTGCTCCTGCCTCCTGCGGATGCCTGTGCGCATAGCTTGACACGGCATGATGGACAGCTCTGGCGAACCAGCTGAAAGCCTCACCATAAATATTGCCGATACATGAGCCTGAGCCAAATTTGAGTGTCAACACATGCAAACCACCAAACATGACCGTGAGGCTCTATTGACAGAATGGCCTGCTTGTTGCACTTAAAACATAAAGCCGAAAACACGGGCTTGAAGACTGAAGCCTAGGCTGATGCTGCTATCTGGACCAAACCAACGACAGGGAAGGATTCACCATATATTTCCATGAAAATATAGGCCTCAGGCTCATGTGTTATTATGTAAATAAGCAGTTACACTTATGATATGAAAATGTTGGGCTGTAACTTATGACATCCTACCCCAAAAAAGTGAATAAAAATATATATGTTCTGCCATAAACCAGAAAATGGTAAAATTAACAGAATGTGCCTCCACCTTTCATAGAGTGCTTTCTCTTCGCACCAGTAATTTTTCGCTCTCGAATCTCACAAGCATCAACATAGCTGTAGTAGGGGGGTATCTGAGATCTCCATACTAGGACCTCAAGTTTTCCATGTCTCTTAATGCTTCCATACAACACATCTTGGATTCTTATCTCTGGAACCTCCTCCTGGGAAGAGCGGTGACCATACTGATGACAAATCATGAAATCTTCTGAAGGCACAACCATTCTACCAAGCCGTACAGGTTTATTTTGATTTAGAAGATCAGACGGATGCACCCAAAATTTGGAGATATGCTTATGGACATCTCATCTCAAAAAGCTCAGAACCTTACACCAAAAGTGTATGTTAAAATTTTCCCTCAACAAATAAGAGGTGATATATGCACCATTGATTGAACGGTTCTGCAGTCTAGCTATCTCCATGGACAGTTGTGCAAGGGACTAGGGTGTGTATCGGGATTCATGCTTCCAAATGTAAGTGTCTTGAAGAAATACCAGTATGCCTCCTCGGACAGATACTTCAGAGTTAGAGCCCGTGTTGTTCCAAACTTTACAATCTTGTCTGAACGGCTCGTGACTATGATTTTACTACCACTAGAAAACCTCTGTCTGGAAGCAAGATACAACCTATTCCATGCATATTCATTGAGACTTCTAGACAGTTCAATAATAACTAGCATTCTCTTGCCTTTGTTTGAGTTTGAAACATATTTTTTGATGTTTCATTGCACATCCTTTTGTGAAACCTAGCTCATCATCTGTAAAATCATTGTCGTGCAGCCACAAGATTTCTGAGAAATAATCACGGACTCTTTCGTCCTTGCAAATATGAGCGACTAGGGTACTTTTGCCGACTCTGACTGGACCAACAATTGGCATGACATCTCCAATTCTTCAGAACTACATGGTTGTGTGAGCAACAGGAATTTAATGACAAGTCCTACTTCCATCCGACGATCAAACATACAGTTAACTAATAGGATATGCATGCTATAAGGCTGGCGATACAAGCGAGGATAGATCACCAAGAATATGACCAACTCATTCAAATCAACAATCATAGAGTTCAATCTATCAAGTGCCTCTTGTAATTGTGTCCAGGATTGGTGTAGTTCGACTGGAGAAATAGAAATCATTTGCAAAGGGTACCTTGGATAGTGGCATAAATCGCCTCACACAGCTTCACCTTTGCCATCCTCTGCATAGTCACGCTGGTACCTGAAGGTGTCCAGTTCATAATAACCTTGGTGCATGGTGCCTATCAACATGCCCAACTGCTGGATCATGGCTTGATTTGTGATTTGCCGTCCCATGGCCTCCTCAATGATAACCTGTGCACGACGAAGTTCTCTTTGTAGGCTCTCCTCCACAGCCAGTGCTGGTGGCTTTGAGCACTTGTTGATGATGAAATTTATGGATCGAGTCATCTGCTCACCCAGGACGGCAAAAGGAAACTTTCCATTTTGGGAGTTCTCTCTCGCTCCTCAGGAAGACAATGCTGTAGGATTGGTAAAAAAATACAAAGTGGCTTCTTTACATGCTAGCTCCTCAATAAATCTCAAAGGAGAACATGGGCGTATTGGAACAATTGGTCTCAAGAGGCAAGGACAGATAAGATTGTGAGAACCAACTAAATTGAGAGAGTCAATAGTCCATTCACATGTATGGACCATGGGGACTGCTTTCGCTTTCGCTTGATTATTTATTGACTTTTTATTTCTTTGTTTATACTTGGTACCGGTTGGAAACTTTCCTTTCAAGACTTGAATTTCGAGCCTTTGCTAAGTGAACCAGTTGTTGAAATCGGAAAGATCATCTAGGGTTAGGTCTAGCGGGTTCTTTTTATTGTGAATGCGATATCGAGAGTAGAGACACAGAGAGGAATAGAAGAAGAACGTGTCGAACCTGACACCGCAGAGAGAGATGGTCCAGAAGCCGCCATCTCGTTCGTCGGTGAAGTCTGCGCACGGGCAGCGACATTCGGGGAAGAGGTCAATGAAGTCGTCGACGTCGGTGGAGCGGGGCAGCGTTGCTGGTGGCTTCCCGTCACTGGTTGTGCCCCTCTCTGATCGTGATTAGGGTTTAGGTTTCGGTGGGGAGCTCGGCTCACGGTAAACCTCGTACTCAGAGCCGTCGGCCCCCACGTCTATATATAGCGCAGTGTGACAGGGGCCCTCCAGCCATATTGAGTTGGGCGCCCCCGATCAAGGCATGGATCAAAGGCCCAACTGGGCCGTTGGGCCCAGTTTGGGATTAGAGATCAATCTAACAATCTCCCCCTTGATCTCCTACCATCTTTCAATTTCATATCATTTACTTTTGTTCATTCCATTACAGATTAGCCCATAGAGCATGTTTCATCATCATGGTCAATTGCCGATAGATTTAACAACTACAACACACCACTCTGTTCTGAAATAGATACTTAACTTTGGGCCTTCTTTTGTTTAGTAATTATAGACTTTCCCTTAAACCCATGCCGGCTACATGTTCTCTGAACACGTTGAGTGGTAAGCCTTTTGTAAGCGGATCCGCGAGCATCTTTTCGGTACTTATATGCTCAAGACTTATAACATGATCTCGGACTTTATCTTTCACAACATAATACTTTACATCAATATGTTTTGCAGCACCACTTGACTTACTGTTGTGAGCATATTGTACCGCCGGATTATTATCGCAGTATAACTTAAGTGGTCTATAAATGTCGTCAACCACCTTCAAACCAGGTATGAACTTCTTTAGCCAGTTCACCTGCCATGTTACCTCATAACACGCTACAAACTCGACATACATTGTGAACGATATAGTGACGGTTTGCTTTGAGATTTTCTATGAAATAGCTCCCCCTACGAGAGTGAATACATATCCAGATGTGGATTTTCTATCATCTCCCACATAATCATAATCTGAATATCCCACTATATGGAGTGAATATGATCTTCTATATGTCATCATGAGGCTTTTCGTTCCTTGCAAATAACGCAAGACTTTCTTTACTAATTTACAGTGTTCAGTTCCAGGATTGCTCTGGAATCTGCCAAGTAACCCGGTAACAAATGCCAAGTCAGGGCGCGTACATACTTGAGCATATTGCAAGCTTCCGACAGCTGAAGCATATGGAACTGTTTTCATTTGATCGATCTCATACTGATTCCTAGGACATTGAAAATCCCCATATCTGTCGCCCTTGACTATAGGAGCAGGTGAGATACTATATTTGTGCATATTGAATTTCTTTAAGATCTTTTCTATGTATGCCTTTTGTGACAGTCCTAATACATATTTACTTCTATCTCGGTGAATCTCGATCCCTAGAACGAACAAAGCTTTACCAAGATCTTTCATATAAAATTTTGAGGACAAAAACATCTTTGTCTCTAGTAGTACACTAACATCACTACTAGCAAGTAAGATATCATCCACATACAGGACAAGGAAGATAAATTTCCCATTCTTAAACTTTGCATAGACACAATTGTCCTCTACATTCTCTTTAAACCCAAAATTCTTTATTGTCTGATCAAACTTCAAGTACCACTGTCTTAAAGCTTGTTTTAATCCATAAATGAATTTCTTTAAGCGGCATCCCATTCGTTCTTTTCCTTCCATGACAAAACCTTTCGGTTGTGCCATCTAAACATTTTCCTCCAAGTCTCCGTTGAGAAATGTCGTCTTTACATCCATCTGATGTAATTCTAAATTATAATGTGCCACTAATGCCATTATGATTATGAAGGAATCCTTACATGAGACTGGAGAAAAGGTCTCATTATAATCAATGCCTTCTCTTTGCCTAAAGCCTTTTGCCACAAGTCGCGCTTTATATCTCTCTATATTCCCTTAAGAGTCAAGTTTTGTTTTGTAGACCCATTTACATCCTACTGTTTTGGCTCCTTTAAGAATTATTTTCAAGTCCCAAACTTTATTGGCATTCATAGATTTCATTTCATCTTCCATGGCCTCAAGCCACTTTGATGAATGATCACTTCTCATGGCTTCTTCAAATGAGGTGGGATCATCCTCCATTTGAAATTCCTCAGTGTTGTATACTTCATAGTCAGCAGGATCCACATTTGGCACATCTTCTGTTTGAGGCTGTTGTTGCTCCCCCTCATGTGTGGAAATAGGTTCTACAGGATCCTAAAGAACAGGTTCCTCATCGTCATTCATTGTTGCCATAGGTGGAATAACAACAGGTGCTGGCACCACAGTATCTTGCACTATCGGTGTAGCGACAGCAGGTAGTGAGAAAAATGGCTCATGAATCATCGGAGTGGGCGCATACACCCGCTTCTCTTCAAGGTCAATTTCTCGAGCTACCATGCTCCCCCTCATCATTTCATCCTCTAGGAAGACAGCGTGTCTCGTTTCCACAAACTTTGTATGTCTGTCTGGACAGTAGAAACAAAAACATTTTGACTTTTCTGGGTAGCCAATGAAATGGCAACTTACTGTTTTGGGATCTAGCTTCCCAATGTTTGGGTTAAATACTTTAGCCTCAGTAGGACTCCCCCACACATGTAAGTGGTTTAGTGAGGGTACTCTTCCATTCCACAACTCATACAGTGTTTGGGCACCGACTTACTTGGTACTCTATTAAGAATATGAATGGCGGTTTTTAACGCCTCCATCCACATGCTCAATGGTAAGGTGGAGTAACTTATCATACTGTGCACCATATCCATCAGGATACGATTGCGTCTTTTAGCTACTCCATTCTACTGAGGTTCGCCCGGTGTAGAAAACTGGGCTACTATGCCATTCTCCTGTAAGAACCTTGCAAAAGGTTCAGAAACTTGGCCATATGGGGTATGCCGACCGTAGTACTCCTCCCCCATGGTCGGATCTGACTATCTTAATCTTTAAATTGTGTTGGTTTTCAACTTCTGCCTTAAATATCTTAAATTTATCCAATACTCCTGTTCTTTCTTTAATTGAATAAATGTAGCCATAACGGGAGTAATCATCTGTGAATGTTATCAATGAATCATAACCATCCACACTCTTTACAAGAAATGGACCACAGATGTCTATGTGAATAATCTATAAAATTCCTGTGCTTCGTTTGGCATCTTTCTTAATTTTCTTTACATACTTTCCTTTTATGCATTCTCTGCATTGTTCTAAATCTAAGAACTCTAATGGAGGAAGAATATCATTCTTAACTAGTCTTTCTATTCTCCCTCTCGAAATATGGCCTAAACGACAGTGCCATAATTTCGACGACGCATCATGAGCTCTCTTTCATTTTCTATTTACACCTGCAGACCAGGATACATTCTCATTGTCGCACGCAACGTTCCCATCATCGCATACAACATTCACATCATCACGTAGTGATAACAAATAAAGCTCATTTTGTAAGATAGCAAGACCAACACATGCAATATTAAATGTTATCTTACATTTGTCATTTCTAAAATGGCAATCATATCCATCATTGTTCAAGCATGAAACACTAATCAAGTTTCTCTGTAAAGAGGGAACATAAAGTACATCTCTAAGTAAAAGTGTCGAGCCATCAGCAAGCTCTAGAGAAAGATCGCCAATGGCTTCAACATCTGCTCGGACTCCATTTGCAACTTTAACGTGTCTTTCTCTTCTTTGCGTAGTCCTCGTCGAATGGAATCCCTGTAAGGAATTAGTAATATGAACAGTTGCACCTGAGTCAATCAACCAAGTAGATTTTGAATATTGTACATACAGGGATTCATTTATGAATGTAATAATGTTCTCATCTTTCTTTGCCATGATCATCTTTAAGTAATCGGGACAATCTTTCTTATAATGTCCTGTCTTCTTGCAATAGAGACACTGGTCTTTCTCTACTGTGAACTTGTTCTGTTGAGGCTGATGCAGCATGGGACCCTTTCCCTTTGACTTTGAGGAGGAGTTAGCATTATTATTCTTTTTCTTGTTGTCTTTCGCATAATTGATAGTGCCACCATTGACAGCTTTCATTCTCTCCTCCTCTTGCACACACATAGCCATGAGCCTCTCTAAGTCTCACTTCTCGGGCTATATGTTGTAGCTAACAACAAAAGTGTCAAATTCCTTTGGCAAGGAAGCAAAAATCAGATGGATAAGAAACTCTTCCTTGAGAGCCAGATCCATTGGTTTTAGCTTGGATGCCAAATTGCCCATCCTTAGTATGTGCTCTCTTATGCCACAATTTCCATAGTACCTCTCTGTCACCAGTTGCTTTATCAGCTGGGTAGCATATGTCTTTAAAGAGCCAGTGAACTGACTCTTTATTCTATCGAGGTACTCGGTGACCGTGTCACACTCTGGGATTGAGCCCACAATTGCAGGCTCAATCGTGTTCTTTATCATAGCCAAACATTTCTTATTGGCAGTGACCCACTTCCTATGCTCAAGGTCATATGACATCTTTTGGGATTCAAAATCCCTCTCTCTAGTTGCCCAAGCGGCATCAGCCTCGTTTGTCGCCCTCACCGGTGCCACAGGCCCAGTGGGACACGGTGAGGTGACTACCCAGTCCACCTCAGCCAAGATGAAGGCCAGGTTAATCTTTTTCTTCCACTCCGTGTAGTGGTCACCTTTAAGAGTGGGGATCACTTTGATACAACCCATCAAGTTGTATCCGTCTGAAAACACAATTCATATAGAGTGAGAACATAAATAATAACAATAATTGCATGCCTTGATTCCAACGTTGGTCAAAATTAAAACATACAACTGTTTATACATTAAATCTACATCACCGTTGGATAGAAATAAAAATAATGCATAAAATCATTAAAATTACGATATTGTTATTAACAATGTTGGTCAGAAAATAACAACATCATAATCATGTCAAAGTCTCTTTTTCTCTAATTAAATATCACGTTGGTTCAAAATAACTGGAGAATAAACTATTTCTTTAGCAGCGGAAAACGTAAAAAAATATCTATTTTCGGAAGCATTAAACTTTTCTCAACTATTCTCTGAAAAATTATCCCATTGGTTCAAATCTTAATAGAGATATTAAACTAGACAAATATCATCAAAAAATTGCTTCTGAAAAATAAAACTTAAACTCGTAAGAACACTGTTCATTTGGCCCAAACCAGCTAAAACAGTGAATTCTAGCTCGGCCTGTTTCTGTTCTCATGCACGCTGTGCTTCCCAGGCCGCAACCTAGGCCTGGGCTGGCAAAGCCGCCCGCCGCACGCGCCCGCCTGGGCCGAAACGCGGTCCAGTCGCTGTCAGCCGTTCATCTGCATCGGACGGTCGCGCACGCGGTTCGGTCGAACAAAACACCCCGCGCGGTGTCCTCGAATCCTAACGCATTCGGCCGCCTCCCTTCCTCTCTCTTCGCTACGCTCCTTCTTCCCTCTCAGCACAGCAACAGCGAGCGACCGAGAGCGAGACGCGAGACGCAGTGAAGCATGGCGCCGTCGCCGGCCCCTTCGCCGGCACGCTCGCTCCCCACGCGGGTGAGCGTGTCGCCGTCGAGCAGACTAGCGGCGGTGCCCTTTGCTGGAGCTCGCACGGCTCGGCCGTCTTCCCGCGCGCCGGCGAGGTGGCAGGGCGGTGAACGGCGAGGTAGGCCCCTTCCCCTTTTCCCCTTTCTCCTTTTCTTCATCTATTTTTTGGATCTGCTTCTCTGGTCTTCTCGGATTTCATCCAATTAGGGATTAGGGTTAGGGTTAAGTCAAGTTAGGGTTAGGGTTTGACTCACTAGAGTCACTATTCATCTTCCCCATCGAGTGCTTTGTGGGTTAGGGTTTGGCTTCGCGTGCCGAGACCCCTTTCTCTTCTCTATTCTTCACCCGATTAGGGTTAGGGTTCGGTGACCCTCTTCTCTTCTCGGATCCGAACGGATCTAATCCGTTTCTTACCCCTGACATGATCTACATGTAGACAGAGGGTTTCGATAGGCGAGATCTATACCCAGTGAGGCTCTGATACCATTGTTGAAATCAGAAAGATCATCTAGGGTTAGGTCTAGCGGGTTCTCTTTACTCTGAATGCGATATCGAGAGTAGAGAGACAGAGAGGAATAGAAGAAGAACGTGTTGAACCTGACACCGCAGAGAGATGGTCCAGAAGCCGCCATCTCATTCGTCGGTGAAGTTTGCGCATGGGCAGCGACGTTCGGGGAAGAGGTCAATGAAGTCGTCGACGTCGGTGGAGCATAGCGGTGCGGCTGGTGGCTTCCCGTCACTGGCTGCACCCCTCTCTGATCGGGATTAGGGTTTAGGTTTCGGTGGGGAGCTCATCTCACGGTAAACCACGTACTCAGAGCCGCCGGCCCCCACCTCTCTATATAGCGCAGTGTGACAGGGGCCCTCCAGCCATAGTGGGCTATGCGCCCCCCGGTCAGGGCGTGGATCAAAGGCCCAACTGGACCGTTGGGCCCAGTTTAGGATTAGAGATCAATCTAACACCAGTAAGCCATCATCGTCTATGATGACAATTGATAGATTAACAATTGATGTAAGTTCTGCATACCAGCTAAGAACTATATTAACCAGTGTCCTATGTTGCACTTTCTGCTAAACTGAGTGAACAAGTTGCCTCTAAGCCAGATTTTGCCCTACAAACTCCTGACAACGGAATTAACTCACTCATGTCGTCTAATATTACTAACAGTAAAATGTACATGTCATTTTTAATAGCTTATCATGCAGATAACACTTTTTTTTTCAATTCCTTTGTTGCTCAGTGCTTTTACTAGCCCAGCCTAAATTGAGATGAGTTCCAAGATCTCATCGTCTGTGAATGTTACAGGAACACACTCTGCATATAACACTTCAAAATTCAAGCTTGTAACTTGTAAGCCGTAGTAATTAGCATATTGCAGTAGATATCTTTAATGACGTGATTTGAGCACACTCTGACTATGATAAGAGAAGGCAATAAGATTAGAATCTCACAGGAGCAAGTACATAAATTCCCAACGCATTAATTCAAGTGTACTCAAGAAACAGAGCAAGCATTATACCAGATTTGTGTACCTATGCTGCTAAAATCATGTAACATGAATTTTTTTTTTGTTACAACTAACTCCAGTCAATTTCAAACACCTGAAAGATTGGTGATATGCCAAATCTTCTTGAACCAACGAGACTCTGCTTGGCTTGCAATTGCAACAGGGTGCTTGGCTTCGATCTCCATAGGCACATACACTTCAAAATTGACTCTACTATAACTTATGACATTCTACCCCAAAAAAAGTGAACTAAAAGTATATGTACTTTCTTGCATAAACCAAAAAGGACAATATTAACAGAGTGTAGCTCCATCTTTCATCGAGCGCTTCCTCTTCGCACCTGTAATTTTTCGCTCTCGAATCTCACAAGTATCGACATAGCTGTAGTAGGGAGCTAACTGGGATCTCCATACTAGGACCTCAAATTTTCCATGTCTCTTAATGCTTCCATACAACAAATCTTTGATTCTTATCTCCGGAACCTCCTCTTGTGAAGAGCGGTGATTCTGATGACAAATCATGAAATCTTCGGAAGGTTTAGCCATTCTGCCAATCAGTGCAGGTCTGTTTTGCTTCAGAAGATCAAAATGATGCACGCCGAATTCAGAGACATGCTTCTGGATGGCCCTTCTCAAGAAGCTCAAAACCTTGCGCCAAAAGTGTATGTTCAAATTGTCCCTCAACAAATAAGACATGATGTATGCACCATGGAATGAACCATACTGCAATCTAGCTATCTCCATGGCAAGTTGTGCAAGACTTGGGTGCTTCTCAGGGTCCATGCTTCCAAATGTAAGTGTCTTGAAGAAATACCAATATGCCTCCTTGGAAAGAAACTTCAGAGTTAGAGCCGGTGTTGTTCCAAACTTTGCAATCTTGTCTGAACAGCTTGTGACTATGATTTTACTACCACAAGGAAAGCTCTGTTTGGAAGCAAGATATAACCTATTCCATGCATCTTCATAGAGATCTCCAGACAATTCAATAACAACAAGCAATCTGTTGCCTCTGTTTGAGTTTGGCATACAATTTTGATGTTTCATTACACATCCTACTCTGCAAGCTAGCTCATCATTTATAAAATTGGAGTCACACAACCACAAAATTTCTGAGAAATAATCACGGACTCTTTCGTCCTTGCAAATATGAGTGACAAGGGTACTCTTGCCGACTCTGACTGGACCGACAATTGGCAAGACCTCCAATTCTTGAGAACTACGAGGCTGCGTGTGCAGCAGGAATTTAATGACAAGTTCTACTTCCATCTGGCGACCAAACATGCAGTTACCCAATAGGATATGCATGTTATAAGGCTGGCGATACATACGAGGGTAGCTCATCAAGAACATGACCAACTCATTCAGATCAACAATCATGGAGCTCAATCTGTCAAGCGCCTCTCGTAGTTGTTTCTGAAACTGTACATTTCGACTGGAGAAATAAGGATCCTTTGCAGAGGGTACCTTGGATAGGGGCATAAAGCGCCTAGCAGCTGGATCATTGCCATCTTCTCCATAGTGAGGCTGGTACCTGAACGCATCAAGTGCGTAATAGCCTCGGTGCATGGCATCCCTCAGCATGCCCAGCTGCAGGAGCATGGCTTGATTTGTGATTTGCCATCCCATGGCCTCCTCAATGATGACCTGTGCTCTGAGAAGAGCCCTTTGTAGGCTTTCCTCCATGTTCAGTTTCAGTAGTGTTGACCACTTGTTGATGATGAAATTTATGGATCGAGATATCAGCTCACCCAGGACTGCAGAGAGGAAAGTTTCCATTTGGGAGTTCTCTCTTGCTCCTTAGGAAGACAACGCTGCAGAAGGGTAAGAACTAAGAAAACACAAGATGAGTATTGATGTTTCTGAAACTCACTCTGTAGTCTGTATTCTATGCTTCACATCAGAACTCAAAGGAGAAGAAGGGCATATAAGAACAATTGGGCTCAAGAAGCAAAAACATATAGAAAAATCTAAATTGAGAGAGTCAATAGTCCATTCACATGTATGACTTTTGGGACCCTTACCTTAATATTCTTATCGACTTTTTATTTAGTTGCTTACACTTTCTACTGATTGTCTACTTCGATAGGTACAGCCCTTGACTGTTGAATTCTAACCCTTTCTACTGATTTTTTATTTACTTGCTTACACTTTCATACATCACTATCTACTATGTAATTTCTCTGTAGAGAACTTATGATACGAGAGTCCTCTGTTAGATTACAAACTGATGTATGCTCTGTATAACCGCTAATAACTATATTAACCAGTGTCCTCTGTTGGACTTTTTGGCTAACTGACTGAACACGAGTTGCCTCTAGGCCAGAGTTTGCACTACAAATTCCCAACTCTCTGTGTTACTCCGTATTTCAGAAGGATAGCACTTTGCAAACATTATCTGAGCAATGGAATAGCACATACTCTGACAATATCTTGATTAAATATGAAAAATGTATCTTAAATCCTTTACAATCATGAAACTGCTGCTGAAGAGTACGTACAGATTACAGAATAAGAATGACTAAAAATCAATCAATATATGCATGCCTGTCCTATGGAATTTTTTTAACTGTTCAGAGTGCGATGTTACTGTCTGATCATTGACCACATCCAGTCACCCTTTCAACAATTTCTTGTGTTTTCTTCTGTGAGTGAACAAAACATACGACTCAGTAGACACAGTTAAGACCCATTCCTAGCTAGGACTTTTAAGAATTTCTGTATGAACTGAAATCATCCATGCAGAACTCATACCCTTCATATAGGCCTGGACGTTTTGATGACTAGTGCTTACGAAAATTTAGTTGAATGCTTCAGAGCTTTGAACACCTCCTAATATTGAAAATGGCACAAACTGGATGTCAGGAATTAATATTTCCTTTCTTCCTCAGTTCCCATGTTTCAGGCCATAAGATATCTGTGAGAGGAATAATCCCTGTTGTTCCATTGATTGATCAAGACTTTATAAAGGAGTTACATGACTCTTGAACTACTAAGACTCTTCATTCTAGACTATACAAATTCTAGGCTATTCATATTCTAATAATATGGAATCAAACTAAAATTAAGCAAAAATTACACAGCACATATGGAATTGCAGAACATTAACTTCAAATGCTTGTTTTCTTGAGCATACATATGCACACAGAAGGGAAATCACATTCATTCTAGGATTCTTTGCAAGCTACAATTCAGGAGAACACACAGACTTACCAGTTTACACATAAATCAGTGATCAAACTAACAAATTTACAAGATAGAATCCTTTATACAAAACATAGAGCCCTTGAGTTAAAACCAAGAACCCAGCGAGAAGCGACTAAGTTTCCCCTTGACTGAGAAACCTGCACATAAGCACCTTATGCACCTGAACTTGGCCCCTCACCAGTTGAGGCAACTTCCAGTGCTACAGAAATACACAAATTTAGGAAATAACATCAGCTGGTAGAAACCTATTACCGCTTATTAGAAAATGGTTTCTGACCATGCACGAAAAACATGTTGCTGGGCAATCAAACAGGCTACCAGGTAATAGCTACCCTTTGTGTGGCATTGATATCATCTATGTTATAAGGTGACATTGAAAGATCATATCCAAGAAATTTAAAGTGTACAAGCTCAAGTAGGTAATACCATTGTTTTTGTTTTTCCACTGTCCTGCTGGTTAGTTTTTACTGGGCCAGCCAACATAACAGAGGACAAAACAATTCTAGGCATATCTGCAGATTTGAAGCGTGGTGGGCTGGTGGCATACCTATATAAGGGTAACACATTTTCTTTTATTGGATCGTGATATTCCACTTTACTAACTCATCGCTCATCACATACAAGCAGAGCTACTGCGACTGGGATAAAGGCAATTACCTGGAGTGTGGAAGCTGATGTAGGGAAAAATGCTGGAGAAGGCAGTATCCCTCGATACCTTTGTGACCTGGAGAGACTTCAGATCAATGGTGAAGAGCCCATCACCCGTCCTCACAAAAACGACACCAACGCCATCCACAAAGCTAACCACATCAGGAAAGGCTGAAATGGCACCAGCAGGGAGCAGCGTGTCGAGCTCGATGGCTCTGGTCTGCACCCAATTCCCATCTCCTGGACGCCGCGCCTCCCTCGCCCACAGGTAGATCGTGGACTTGCCTGCCGTGGCGAGTCCCAGAAGACCATCATCCCTAGCGGCGAGCACAACGCGCTGCCAGTCGAAGCGTGGCGGCGGCAGGCGCACCACCGCCATCTCCCGCGTGCGCAAATCGAACTCCAGGGCCGCCGCCCCCGTCTGGAACGCGAAGTAGAGCGCGTTCCCCGCGAGCGCGCTGGGCGCGAAGTCGACGTTGTCGTCGGGGTGCCGAGCGGACGCGGGCGCGCTCCAGGTACCCGTCTCCGACGAGTAGACGTGGGCGAACATCTCCGCGTGGTTGGTGTCCACCACGACGACGAGGAAGTGGACACCGCCGCCACCGGAGCAGTCGAGGTGGTCGCAGGCGGCGGCGGCGGCGGAGCAGAGCACCGCGGCGTTCCAGCTGTAGGGGTAGTGGGGAGCCCAGGGGAGGCGAGGCAGGTCCGTGCGGCGGCCCGCGGCGAGGTCCCAGACAGCGAGCTCGCAGTCGACGGGCGCGTCGTGGCCGGTGTCCCGGCGCAGAAGGGCGCGGCCGTGGCGGGCGTCGAGCGCGCGCCAGCCGCCGAAGAGGGGTGCGGGGCGGAAGGTGGAGGAGGGCACGAAGCGGGTGCCCGCGCCGGCGCTGGAGAGGAAGCCCAGCATCGGGGGCGAGGGCGAACCCCCGCGGTGGAGGTGGAGGTCGCGGTAGCGGCGGCGGAACCGCGGGCCCGTGACGATGCGGCGCCAGCGCCTACAGACGAGCGCGGCCCGGACGAGGCTCGCCGGGTCGGCAGGTGGGAAGCGCAGCAGGACCTCCTCCACCAGCTCCTCCATCAGCGCACTCGCCGGCGGTGGCGGATCTGCTTCCATGGTGGATGATGATTAGTGGTTGGCCGGGTGGGTGCGAGCAGCGAAGGCCGGCAGAGCAGGTGAAGAAGAGCAGGGAGTGGGAGGATCTGCTGCTCTGCTTTTGCCTTGACCCGGAGAGTGGAGAGGCGTGCGTGGGACCTATGGGGTCCAGGTGGGGCCATGGGAGCAGTGAGACAGAGACTTGGTCGTCAGATTCAGCTAATTTTCCCCACAACCGAGCATGCTGAATATTCTGCTAAGTGCCTGGTAATCATGGATTCACTAGTTAAGGTTTCTATGGTCAGCAAATAAACATCACTTTCCTCTACTTCTTGGTGCAATGACCAAATGTCCAAACCAAACTAAGAAACTTCCGCATTACCGTGGAAATGAAATGCATGCAGGAAATAAGCTTAGTGCTCAGCTCAGCATTATGTGGCGATTTCACATTTCACACGCCACAGGCTGTGAGTTAAAAATTTTCTAAATTGACCTAAACTTGCTCAGGTATAGTATAGGGATGAAATCGGTCGGAAAATCTCTCTATCGTTTTCTACTTATATATTTGAATATGAAAACGAAAGCGAAAGCGGTAAAGCTGGATACGAAAACAAACACAAACTTGCGGAATACCAAGAATTTTAAAAACGGACTAATTCGAGAGGAATTATGTTGAACACAGTCGGTATACGAAAGATCATATTGATCCGTAGGACCAAGTCTCCATTTGACACCACGTAAGAAACTTATGATTTTTCTAAGGCAACAAACGTTTGTAAACGATTCATATACTGCTGAAAATTTTGTTTAATTTTTGAACATTTCACAACCTCAAATGAAAAAACTAAAAACTAGAAAGATGTAGATCTCGTGGAGAGCTACAATTTTTGTATAAAAAATCACGCAGGCGCCGCCGCCGTGGACCTGCGCGCCGTGGGCGTGCGCGTCTCGCCGTTCGTGACGTACCGCGTGGGCACGCATGCCGGCTGCTGCTGCTGCTGGCCGTTCGCCAAGACGCCGACGTGCCAGCGTGGGCTGCCGGACTGGGCTGCCGCTGCGCCGGCTGCTGCTGCTGCTGGCCGTTCGCCGACGTGCATGTGCATGCACCTGCATGACCCGGAGGTGCCACGTGGGTTAAAAAATTGAAAGAAATGGGGTATGGGCTAGGAATGCGCCATTAACGAAGATTATAGACCTAAAAACCCACTTTCAGAATTGATGGACCTAAGTGAAACTAGAGCGCAAGTTGATTGACCAACCATTCATTTAACTCTTACAAAATTAACAAAATGTGGCTCCATCTTTCATAGAACGCTTCCTCTTGGCAATTGTAGTCTTTCGCTCTTGAATCTCATAAGTACAGCCAATGACAATGAGTTCATCACATGATACAAGTATTTATAGATTACAATCAAGTGACTTATCGTTTCAACTTCTAAAGTGATTCATATTCTAATATTGAGGTTGCTATCTGGGGTGACAATGAGTTCATCACATCCCTTGGAAAATTGCCTCAGCATCATACATATGAAAATTCAGCTAGAATTCGACGATGTTGTAACCTGTGACATCTTATTTATTGTACATTTTGACTGTAATGTAAATTATGGCATCAGACCCAAAAATAGCAAATAAAAATAAGTTCCTGAATATAGGCATATGATGACAAGATTAACAAAATGTGACTCCATCTTTCATAGAACGCTTCCTCTTGGCACCTGTAGCCTTTCGCTCTCGAATCTCACAAAGATAGCTATAGTACGGTGGTATCTGAGATCTCCATAATAGGACCTCAAATTTCCCATGAAGTTTAATGCTTCCATACAGGATATCTTGGACTCTTATCTCTGGAACCTCCTCTTGGGAAGAGTGCTGATACTGACGACAAAGCATACAATCTTCAGAAGGTGCAGTCATTCTTCCAATCTGTACATATCTGTTTTGGTCGAAAAGTTCAGATGGATGCACGCCGAATTTGGAGACATGCTTCCGGATGATCCCTCTCCAGAACTTCAGAACCTTGCACCAAAAATTGATGTCAAAATTGTTCCTCAACAAATAAGAGGTGATGTATGCGCCAATGATCAAACGTTTCTGCGTTCTGGCTATCTCCATGGACAGTTGTGCAAGTCTTGGGTGTGTCTCGGGATCCATGCTTCCAAATGTAAGTGTCTTGAAGAAATACCAGTATGCTTCATGTGATAGGTGCTTTAGAGTTAGAGCCTGTGCTGTTCCAAATTTTGCAACTCTGTCTAAACGGCTTGTGACTATGATTTTACTCCTGCAACAAAAGCTCCGTTTGGAAGCAAGATAGAACCTACTCCAAGCATCTTCATAGAGATTTCTAGATAGTTCTATAACAACTAGCAATCTCTTGCCTTTGTTCGAGTTTGACACTTGATTTTGATGTTTCATTACACATCCTTCTCTGCAAGCTAGCTCATCATTTATAAAATTGGAGTCACACAACCACAAAATTTCTGAGAAATAATCACGGACTCTTTCGTCCTTGCAAACATGAGCGACTAGGGTACTCTTGCCGACTCTGGGTGGACCGACAATTGGCAGGACCTCCAACTCTTGAGAACTATGAGGCTGTGTGCAGCAGAAATTTAATGACAAGTTCTGCTTCCACCTGGCGACCAAACATGCAGTTACCCAGTAGGATATGCATGCTGTAAGGTTGGCGACACAGACGAGGGTAGCTCGCCAAGAACATGATCAACTCATTCAGATCAACAATCATGGAGCTCAATCTGTCTAGTGCCTCTTGTAGCTGTTCCCGAAACTGTGCAGTTTGACTGAAGAAATAGGGATGCTTTGCAGAGGGTACCTTGGATAGGGACATAAATCGACTCACAACTTGATCACTGTCATCCTCTCCATAGTGAGGCTGGTACCTGAAGGCGTCGAGTGTGTAATAGCCTCGGTGCATGGCGTCTCTCAGCATGCCCAGCTGCTGGATCATGGCTTGATTAGTGATGTGCCGCACCATGGCCTCCTCGTCGATGGCCTGTGCTCGGAGAAGAGTCCTCTGGAGGCTTTCCTCCATGGTCAGTGCCGGCGGCTTAGAGAACTTGTCGATGATGAAATTCATGGATCTAGTCATCAATTCACCCAAGGCTGCAGAAAGGAAACTTTCCATGTGAGTCCTCTCTTTCTTCTCAGGAAGAGAACACAGCAGGATGGGTAAGAAAACACAAGGTGAGTTTTGATGTTTCTGAAAATATGTAAGCTATGCTTCACATCAAAGCTCCAAGGAGAGAAAGGGCGTTGGACTCAAGAAGCAAAGACATACAAAGAGTCAATAGTCCATTCACATGTATGACTTTTGGGACTGCTGATGTATGACCTTTAGGACTGCTTTTGCCTTCACATGGTTATTCTGATTGACATTTTATTTTTCTTTGAACTTGCTACCGGTTGGATACTTCCATAGAATACGTACAGCCCTTGACTGTTGAATTCGAAGCCTTCGCTAAGTGAACCACTGAGCCATCACCATCTATGATCTGTGTAATTACTTTGTAGACCACCTATGATATCAAGGTCACAAAAATCAGATTGTTAGCTTAGCAACTGATATACTGTAGTTACAAAGGACCAATGAGATTAGAATCTCAGAGGACCAAGTACAAAAATTCCGAATGCATTCATTCAAGTGTACACAAGAAAACAGAGCAAGCAGTATACCGGATCAAACTGCTGCACTGTACAATAGCTCATGTAGAAAACACTTTTTCAATTCCTTTGCTGCTCAGTAATTTTACAGGCCCAGCGTAAAGTTAGATGAGTTCCAAGATCCATTGTCTGTCAATGTTACAGGAACACATTTTGCATATAACACTTTAAAATTTAAAATTCAAAAGCTTGTTAGATGTAGCATATTGCAGTAGATACCTTTAAGTTGGTGTGATTTGAGAACACTCTGACTACGATAAGAGAAGACAATGAGATTAGAATCTCAGAGGACCAAGTACAAAAATTTCGAATGCATTCATTCAAGTGTACAAATTTTGTATACTATGCAATCATGAGAAGCGGAAAAAAAATCATTACAACTAACTCCAGCCAATTTCCAACTCTTTCTGGGCCAGAGATTGGTGGGATGCCAAACTTCTTGAACCAAGTCGACTCTGCTTGGCATGCAACAGGGCACTGATAAGTTGTTCCATCTCCATAAGGCAACCAGTCATGCAAACTACCAAACATGACTGAGGTTCTATTGACAGGATGGCCTGCTGGGTTGAACTGAAAAGATAAAGCCGAGAAGACAGGCTTGAAGGTTGAAGCCCAGGCTGAGTCTGCTTTCTGGAGTAAAGCCAACAATAGGGAAAGATTCACCATATCCCATGAAAATATATGCCTCCAACTCATGTGTCATTATGTAGATAAGCACTTACACTTCAGATATGAAAATCCAGCACACTTCAGAATTGACTCTGCTGTAACTTATGACATCCTACCCACAAAAAGTGAATAAAATTATATACATAAACCAGAAAAGGACAAAATTAACAGAGTGTAGCTCCATCTTTCGTAGAGTGCTTCCTCTTCACACCTGTAATTTTTCGCTTTCGAATCTCACAAGCATTGACATAGCTGTAGTAGGGGGCCAGCTGGCATCTCCATACTAGGACCTCAAATTTTCCATGTCTCTTAATGCTTCCAAACAACAAATCTTGGATTCTTATCTCCGGAACCTCCTCTTGTGGAGAACGGTGATACTGATGACAAATCATGAAATCTTCGGAAGGTGTAGCCATTCTTCCATGCTGTACAGGTCTGTTTTGATACAGAAGATCAAACGGATGCACGCCGAATTCAGAGACATGCTTCTGGATGGCCCTTCTCAAGAAGCTCAAAACCTTGCGCCAAAAGTGTATGTTCAAATTGTCCCTCAACAAATAAGACATGATGTATGCACCATGGAATGAACCATACTGCAATCTAGCTATCTCCATGGCAAGTTGTGCAAGACTTGGGTGCTTCTCAGGGTCCATACTTCCAAATGTAAGTGTCTTGAAGAAATACCAATATGCCTCCTTGGAAAGAAACTTCAGAGTTAGAGCCGGTGTTGTTCCAAACTTTACAATCTTGTCTGAACGGCTTGTGACTATTATTTTACTACCACTAGAAAAGCTTCCTCTGGAACCAAGATACAACCTATTCCATGCCTCTTCGCTGAGATTTCCAGATAGTTCAATGACAACAAGAAATCTCTTGCCTCTGTTCGAGTTTGGCATACGATTTTTATGGTTCATCACATATCCTTGTCTGCAAACTAGCTCATCATTTGTAAAATCGAACTCACACAACCACAAGATTTCTGAGAAATAATCACGGACTCTTTCGTCCTTGCAAACATGAGCGACTAGGGTACTCTTGCCAACTCTGGGTGGACCAACAATTGGCATGACCTCCAATTCTTGAGAACAATGAGGGTGTGTGTGCAACAGGAATTTAATAACTAGTTCTGCTTCCATCTGGCGACCAAACATGCAGTTACCAAGGAGGATATGCATGCTGCAAGGTTGGCGATACAGACGAGGGTAGCTCATCATGAAAATGACTGACTCATTCAGATCAAACATCATGGACCTCAATCTGTCAAGTGCATCTTCTAGCTGTACCTGGGACTGTGCAGTTCGACTGAAGAAATAGGGATCCTTTGGAGAGGGTACCTTGGATAGGGACATAAAGCCCCTAATAGCTGGATCATTGCCCTCCTCTCTGTAGTGAGGCTGGTACCTGAAGGCATCGAGTGCGTAATAGCCTCGGTGCATGGCATCTCTCAGCATGCCCAGCTGCTGGATCAAGGCTTGATTTGTGATGTGCCGTCCCATGGCCTCCTCATCGATGACCTGTGCTCGGAGAAGAGCCCTTTGTAGGCTATCCTCCAAGGCCATTGCGGGCCGCTTCAAGCACTTGTTGATGATGAAGTTTATGGGTCGAGTCATCAGCTCTCCCAGGACTGCAGGAAGGAAATTTTCCATGTGAGTTCTCCCTTCCTGCTCAGGAAGACGAGGCAGGAAAACACGAGGTGAGTTTTGATGTTTCTGAAACTCTGTATTCTCTGCTTCACGTCAAAGCTCAAGTTAGAAAGGGCCTGTAAGAACGACTGAGCTCAAGAAGCAAAGACATATAAGAGTAACTAAATTGAAAGAGAGTCAAAAGTCCATTCACATGTATGACCTTTGGGATTGCTTTCGTCTTCACCTGGTTATTCTGATTTGACTTTTTATTTCTCTGTTTATGCTTCCAGAGAATACATACAGCCCTTGACTGTTGAATTCCAATCCTTCGCTAAGTGAATCACTGAGACATCAACATCCATGATCTATGTAATTTCTCTGTAGAGTACCTATGATATCAAGGTCACAAAAATAAGATTGTTAGCTTAGAAACTGGTATACTGTAGTTCTATATACCAGCTAAGAACTATATTAATCAGTGTCCTCTGTTCCACTTTTTAACCTACTGACTGAACAGGAGTTGCCTTCAGACCAGATTTTGCACTATAAATTCCCGATGAAGCAATTGACCTTCTTGTGTTGGCTAATATCGCTAACAGTAGAAACTTAAATGCTATTTCAAAAGCTTGTGTAGACAACACAATTTTTTAGTTCCTTTCCTGCCTAAATTTAGATGAGTCTCAAGATCCCACCATATGTCAATGTCACAGGGACACTTGCATACAACACTTTAAAATTGAAACTTCTAAGCTGTAGTTTTAATTAGCATATTGCAGTAGATACCTGTAAGTTGGAGTGATTGGAGCACCTGCTGACCATCCAAAAAAGAAGACAATTTGAATATCAGATGACTGCTGCACTTTAGAGTACATGTACAAAGATTTGTGTACATATACAGCTCATAATGTGAAACAATTCAGTAGACATTACTGATAGTTAAGCCTAGCTGCTTGTATCTTACTTTCCTGTTTTTACTATTCACTGTCTAAGTGTTTTCGGGTGGCTTAGCACCCAAGTTTGGTATCTGCTTTATGCAGCAGAATATGCTAGAGTAGGTAAGAGTAGGAAAAGCCACTTTGCTATATAAGCAGTGGCAGACCATCTTGTATTCCAAGTCTTGTAATTTTCAGTTTCAATCCAAGCGGCCTAGTGTCCGCCCCTGGGCTTAGCCCAAATCTGAGATCCATTTTGTTCATGTCTGGGCAACAATTACAACTGACTCCAATCTATTTCCAACTCTTTGTGGGCCAGATATTGGTGGGAAGCCCAACCTTCTTGAGCGCTTCTTCTTTACTTGCTAGAGGGAGATGATAAGTTGTTCCATCTCCGTAGGGCAACAGTCAGGCAAACCACCAAGCATGACCATGAGGCTCTGTTGACAATGGCCTGCTGGGTTGAAGTGAAAACAGAATGACAAAAAATACAAGTTCAGTTCCAAGCTGAGGGTGCTATCTGTGGTGAAACCAATGACAAGGAAGGATTCACCATATTTCATGAAAATCTATGACTCTGGCTCATACGTTATTATGCATATAAGCACTTATACTTCATATGTGAAAATGTAGCAGTACAGTTTGGCAGTGTTGTAACCTATCACACTTTGCATGATTTATGTTTTTAATGTGCTCTAACTTGAGACATCCCAACGAAAAAACAAAAAGAAAGGAACAAAAACATGTCCATACATGAACCAGGAAATGACAAAATTAACAGAATGTGGGTCCATCTTTCATCCAGTGCTTCCTCTTTGCACCTGTAATTTTTCGCTCTCGAATCTCACAAACATTGACATAGCTGTAGTAGGGGGGTATCTGAGATCTCCATACTAGGACCTCAAATTTTCCTTGTTTCTTAATGCTTCCATACATCACATCTTGGATTCTTATCTCTGGAACCTCCTCTTCAGTTGAGCGGTGATACTGATGACAAATCATGAAATCTTCAGAAGGTGCAGCCATTCTTCGAAGCTGTACAGGTTTGTTTTGGTTTATAAGATCAAATGGATGCACGCCGAATTTGGAGACATATGTCTGGATGAACCCTCTCATGAAGCTCAGAACCTTACACCAAAAGTGTATGCTAAAATTGTCCTTCAACAAACAAGAGATGATATATGCACTATTAATTGAACGATGCTGCAGTCTAGCTATCACCATGGCCAGTTGTGCAAGCCTAGGGTGCATCTCGGGATCCATGCTTCCAAATGTAAGTGTCTTGAAGAAAAACCAGTAAGCCTCAGGGGACAGGTACTTCAGAGTTAGAGCTGGTGTTGTTCCAAACTTTACAATCATGTCTGAACAGCTTGTGACTATTATTTTACTACCACTAAGAAAGCTACGTTTGGAAGCAACATAAAACCTATTCCATGCATCCTCACAGAGATTATCATATAGTTCAATAACAACTAGCAATCTCTTGCCTTTCTTCAAGTTTGACAAATGATTTTGATGTTTCGTTGCACATCCCTGTCTGAAAGTTAGCTCACCATCTGTAAAATCACAGTCGTGCAGCCACAAGATTTCGGAGAAATAATCACGGACTCTTTCATCCTTGCAAACATGAGCAATTAGGGTACTCTTACCGACTCTGAATGGACCAACAAGTGGTAGGACCTCCAATTCTTCAGAACTGTGAGGTTTTGTGTGCAAAAGGAATTTAATGATAAGTTCTGCTTCCATCCGGCGATCAAACATGCAGTTACCCAGAATGATATGCATGCTGTAAGGCTGGCGATACAGGCGAGGATAGCTCATCAAGAACATGACCAACTCATTCAGATCAACAATCATGGAGCTCAATCTGTCAAATGCCTCTCGTAGTTGTTGAAGGAATCTTGCAGTTTGACCAGAGAAATAGGGTTCCATTGGAGAGGGTACCTTGGATACGGAGATAAAGTAATTCACAGCTTGATCTTTGCCATCCTCTTCTACATAGTAAGGCTGGTACCTGAAGGCATCAAGTGCATAATAGCCTTGGTGCATGGCATCTCTCAACATGTCAAGCTGGTGGATCATAGATTGATTTGTGATGTGCCGTCCCATGGCCTCCTCGATGATGACCTGTGCCCGAAGAAGAGCCCTTTGTAGGCTTTCCTCCACAACCAGTGCTGGCGGCTTCGAGCACTTGCTGATGATGAAATTTATGGATCGAGTCATCAGCTCACCAAGGACTGCAGAAAGGAAACTTTCCATTTGGGAGATCACTCTCGCTCCTCAGGAAGACAACGCTGCAGGATGGGTAAGAAAGCACACTGTAAGTTTTGATGTTGCTGAACTGTGTACTCTATGCTTCTCATGAAAACTCCAAGGAGAGCAAGGGATTTTAAGAACAATTCGGGTCAAAAATCCAAGACGTATAAGAATAACTAAATTGATAAAGTCAATAGTCCATTCACATGTATGACCTTTGAACGGCTTTCGCCTTCACCTGATTATGCTGATTTAACTTTTTCTTTACAACCAGTTGGCTTACAGCCCTTGAATGTTGCATCCCGACCCTTCGCTATGTGAAGCACTAAGCCATCACAATCCATGACCTATGTAATTTCTCTGTAGAGCCTCTATGATATGAAGGTCACAAAAATCAAGCCATCACCATCCATGACCAACGTAATTTCTCCGTAGAGCACCAATATGGTATGAAGGTCACAAAAAACAGATTGTCAGATTAGCAACAGATGCATGTTCTGTGTACCAGCAACTCCAAAGAAAGTACCAGGTATATCAACCAGTGCCCAGCTTTTGGACTAAAGCTGTGTGATTTGGCACTTCCTTTAGACCCAAAAGCTTTTTTTTTAACGAACCAGCACTAGTTGTGCCAATTTCTATTAATAGAGAAGAGGTTACAAAGTCCCACGGAGGTGGTAAAGAAATTAATTAAAAAAAAAAGATATGGCTACTCTCTGGAATACAGGGATGCTAAGTGTTTGCCTCCTGCTCCCCAAGATGTTGCTTCCTCTTTAATCTTTGTGGTGATAGATGCTATGGATGCTGCTTTATGTTGAAAGATTCTCTGATTCCGCTCCTTCCAAATAGCCCCAAAAGCTTTTGGATCAATGAGACAGAATGGACTCAAGAATCGAGATAGAATACCATTCTTTGTGTGGTAGTGATATTACCTTCATTTCCCGCGAGCCCAAATCGTACTCCAGCATTGTTGTGCCCGCCTCGAAGTGCAAAAGCAGGGAGCGTTCCGTTCCCCACGAGCCGTCGTTGTGTGCCGGTGCCGGTGCCGGTGCATTGCGGATGCGGGCGCGCTCCTCGTCCAAGGTGTTGGCGAGAAATAGGTGGGCACGAAGCGGGCGCTCGGGCCGGGGCCGTCTTTGGAGAGGAAACCCAGCATCGAAGGCGGGCGACACCCCGCGGTGGAGGTCGCGGTAGCGGCGGCGGGAACCCTGGCCCCGTCACGAGGCGGCGCCAGCATTTGCAGACGAGCGGGCTAGCTGGGAGCGAAGCGCAGCGGGACCTCCTCCTCCATCGCCATCAGCGCGCTCGCCGGCGGCGGATCTGCTTCCACGGTGGTTGGCCGGCGGGGCGCAGCAGGTGAGGAAAAGATCTACTGCTCTGCTCTGTGCTCTGCTTTCAGGCTTCCAGGTGGGGCCATGGGATCAGAGACAGAGAGATCTTGATTTGGTCTTGGGACAATCGCTGGCCGTGCAAATGGAATCGAACGGTCCAGGTGGGCTACACCGCCTGCTGTCCAAAAATCCAAGCAGACTGGGCCCTCGATGTTCAGAAAAATGGCATTCAGCTAATTTCGCCCAACCAACTGATGAACAGATCATCTTCAGTTCCCTGTTGTTCTAATCTCGCATGGATAAAATGCATTCAGATACCAACACGGCAACAGCCATGCATGCTTTACATAAGTTCCTGAATCGTTCAGATCCCTGCAATGCAATCTCGCTGCCCCATCACTATCATTGTATGCATGTTACATGTTCTTCTCTTCCTGTTCAAGGCTAATGTTCAGGAACACGTACAGATTAACGCATCAGATCACTTCAACAGCATGCATCAGCTAGTTCACCCATAGCTGATTACCCTATCTTTTCGACAAATCGTAAACCTTAGAAATCTGAGAGAGAAACAACTACATACAGATGCTCCCACTTATGGCTCAGCCGCTCAGGGGTTCACATATGACAAGTAGCAGCATTTATACCGTATGGCCATAGATTACATTCTAGGAACTGGTGACCAAACAGATAGTGATCAAATCAAACACATGAAATGTTTTGCAAGTAACCAACGAATTACTAGTTCAGATATGTATGGTCAGCAAATAAGCATCGGTATCATCCTAAGTAAGAACCAAATCAAGAAAAACAAAACTCCACGTGACTGTCAGAAATGAAATGCATGCAAGCAACAAACCTTAGTGGTCAGCATTATGCGGCGACATCACAGTTTACACGCTTAAAGGCTCCTGGTTAAAGTTTCTTATCACCCATTAAACCGATATGAACTTGCTCACATAGAGATCTCACTCAATTCCATATAGGCAAAGCATTAGAGCACTTATTCCGCACATATGAATTCTGAAGCATCAAAAAGAGAAAGCAGGGTAGGTTCACCAGTGACATAATACTTCACTGTTCTGGATGCTTTAAACTGAAACAGAGTTTGACATGCATGCAGTCTCTCAAGAGCTGAAAGTAAGAATACAGTTGATATGCATTGCTACTCTTGACTATATCAGTAGCCCTATGTATTAATGGTAGTAAAACAAGTACCCATAGTAGATAAAGTTCTGCTAAGTGGCTAAGTGATAGCCAAAAAGAGAGTGATCAAACAATGAAATGTGTTGAACATAACAAATGAACTACTTCCTCTGTCCTAAATTATAAGACGTTTTGGCATTTCTAGATTCATAGCTTTTACTATGTATCTAGACATAATATATATATATATAGGTGCATAGTAAACGTTATGAATCTAGAAAAGCCAAAACGTCTTATAATTTGGAACGGAGGGATATATATATATATATATATATATATATATATATATATATATATATATATATATATATATATATATATATTAAACGTTATGAATCTAGGAAAGCCAAAACGTCTTATAATTTGGAACGGAGGGAGTACTAGTTAGGATTTCTATGGTCAGCTAATAAGCACCACTCTCATGTAGTCCTTTCTAGCAAACAAAGAAAAAATAGAAACCAAAAAGGTAAACAAAATTCAACGTAACTGTTGAAATGAAATGCACACAAGCAACAAGACTAGTGCTCAGTATTAAGTGGTGACTTCAGAGCTTACAAGCAGCAGGCTCTTTGTTAAAACTTTTTACCATCCTGTAAAGTGAGCTGAACTTGCTCACATAGAGATCTTATTCAATTCCATATTGACAAAGCATTAGAGCACTTAGCCACACCCACACACATGAATCATGCATCAGAAAGAAAAAACAGGGTAGGTTCACCAGTCACCAGTGACAGATTACTTCACTGTCTGTATGCTTTAAACTGAGAAAGAGAGTTTCGTATGCAGCAACATGCAAGGATGGCAGTAAGAGTTTGCCACCCTTGCTGTCAAAATCCAGTTAGGAATTATTAAAAAAAAATCACAATCAGGAATAGTGGTTAGGACAGAAACCAAGTAGGGCACTTGATGTTCAGAAAAATGGCATTCAGCTAATTTCGCCCAACCAACTCATGAGCAGATTATATTTATTTCTTTATTGTTCTCGCATGAATATAATGCATTCAGATACCAACACCTGGCCTGAGAATGCTGTCCTGTACATATGTCCCTGAATCCTTCATCTCTCTGAAATCTTGTTGACCTATCAGTGTCTGCATGGTTACACATTTTCTCTTGCTGTCCAAGCCTAATGTTCAGGAACAAGTACAGACTAACACATCAAAACCCCTTTCAACAGCAAACACTAGCTCATCCACCCATTATTTTTCTTTCTTAATAAAATGATACGCAGTTCTCCTGCGTGTTCGAGAAAAAAAATCCACCCATTATTGATTGCTCTCTCTTTTCCCCATGTTTTGAACCTTATTGGAAAAATGACTGAGCAGCAGTAAAACAAGTATAGCATAGCCACAGAAAACATTCAGGAGTGGTAACCAAACGCATACTGATCAAACAAATGAATTACTTTGTGTTGAACATAACAAATGAATTACTAGTTAAGATTTCTATGGTCAGCTAATAAGCACCACTCTCATGCATTCCTGTGCAATAACCAAAGCAAAAATAGAAACCAAAAAAGTAAAACTAAATTCAAGGTAACTATTGAAAAGAAATGCATGCAAGCAACAAGATTAGTGCTCAGTATTAAGCAGCGACTTCGCAGCATACACGCAACAGGCTCCTAGAGTCCTAGTTAAAACATTTTACCATCCTGTAATGTGAACTGAACTTGCTCACATAGACATCTTACTTGATTCCATACTGGCAAAGGATTAGAGCACTTAGCCACACATATGAATTCTGCGGCGTCAGAAGAGATAGCAGGGTAGGTTCACCAGTGACAGAATACTTCACTGTTCTGGATGATTTAAACTGAAACAGAGTTTGATATGCAGTCTCTCATGAACTGAAACTAAGACGATGGTTAATAAGTACTGCTGTTCCTGAATCCTGATTATATTAGTTTGCCTGTAGACAAGGCCTCAGGCACAAGCTCAAGCCTAGTGACCTGTCCCCTTATAAAGCTATATCACTTCCATTGCTAGTACCAACAACAAATTTTCCATTGCTAAGAAAGCCTCTGTTCAGCAGTTGAAGCGCCAGCACTTAGTCCCTCACCTGTGGTGGCCACTCGTAACACTGCATAAATACACAGATTTAAAAATAAATGTCAGCAGGCTGAGAGGAAAACACACATTCATTTTTTATTTTTCATTAAGCAGCATCCATTCTTCTAGATTGATAAGTGACAATGTGACACATCATATCTAAGGAGCGATGTACCTGCAGTGTAGAAGCTCATGTACGGAAGGATGGTGAGAATTATGCCCTCATATACCTTCTTCACCTTATAGGTCCTTAGATCAATTGTATAGACCTCATTGCCCGTCCTCATGAAAATGATATCGACACCAGAGCCAATCAGAATAAGTTTGGTTACATCAACATCAACAGGGAACACTGTCTTAAGTTCAATGACGCTTCTTTCCCATGTAGCATCTACTTCATGAGTATCCTTCCTTGACCACATGTAAAGTTTGGAGTCATCTCTCCTGACGAGCCCTAGTCCACCATCCTCCATGGTTGTAAGCAGAGACTCCTGCAGCTGAGACTGAGACCTCCGCCATAGAGATGGTAGGCAAATCAACGACAATTGACACAATTCCAAATCGTACTTGAGAGCTGTGGATCGCACCAGATTCCCAAAGTAGAGAGCGTTCCCCACAAGCGCACTGCCCATAAAGGGGTCGACGAGGTAATTTTGCTGAGGCCCAACTGGTTCACTCCAGGCAGCAGCATTGGATGAGTAGGTGTAGACTAAGGCACTGCCTATGTTGACGCACACAAACACAACGAGGAAGGGTCCATTGTGGCAATCAAGGTGGTTGCAGGCGCCAGCAGCGGCAGAGCAGAGAATGTGGATGGGGAATGAAATGGCAGGAAGACAGACACTGAGCGTGAGGAGTGAGGAACGGAGGTGAGGAAGAGCGTTGGACCTGGACTCTTCCAGGTGGGCCGCACATCCGAATGTGTATGGGCTCTCTCTGATGGCTTTGTAGGCCCATATCCGAGCTGAGATCGGCCCATCTTGCTCGCTCGGCCACTGTACGTACTCCTCCTCATCAGACTGGGTAAACAAGGTTTATAAAGAAACCCATAAAGCTCAGGATCATTTTGCAGTCCGAATAAAAACTGAACCAAAGAATCATTTGTTCCAGTTGCTCTAGAATTTATTTATTTACAGCATACATACTGAATGCAAGCAAAAGTTCAGTTGGGATCACAGCACACACTTGATTCCCAAAATGAGTGGACACAGGACAATACTTTCAGCGAGTGGAAAAGGGAAGCTGGACGGTGTTTCTCAGTGTGTTCATTCACTGTGATTGTTATTGCTGCTCTCCAAGGTGCAGTACAGTATTAGACTTTCACTTGAGGCAAATGGTTTCTCCAAGTTCCATCTGTGCATGCAGAAGCTGAACCAGAGATCCAATCTTACTTACTTACTCCCTCTATCCTATAATATAGTGTATTCTAAATTATTTTAGACAACTTAAGGGAACTCTTAATGGCGCATGTACCCGTAGATTGAACTCAATTAAGGTGTTTCTCTTTAATTATGGTTTTCGCTGTTTGGATGCAACGCTGGAGTAAAAATGCCTGGAACTTGCCTGCGTGCTGTTTGGTTGGCATCCTGGAAATCTTGCAAAGCAACTCACCCACAAAAACGAACGCCTGGCTCCAGTCTACCGTTCTTGCCTGGGTGTGCCGTGATTAAACGTTAACCAATTTAAGATGGCTGTGACATAACTTTTCTAAATACTTGCTGTTCACGTCAAATCAAGCGAACGACATCCCCATGATTTGCTACTGTTTTTGTCATTTTATTTTGTCTCGCTCTTTTTCATTGAATATATGTAAAAAGATAATAATTATAAATACTGATGTTTATCTTATAAATCTTAAAAAATGATGCAAATCACTAGTATCCTAAAAATTGATTAGGAGTTCAACTAATCATATACAATGCCATTAAACACATACTAATATAATGTTTTATTCTCTCTTATCACTTATTAGCGTTCTCAGGCGCAGGCTTCCAACCAAACATACTATGACCTAACTTGCCTGAGCAGGAAGATTCCATCAGATTTTCAGGTAACTTCTAGGCAACATTTTTTACCAGGCAAGTTGTCCAGGTCTCTAACAAAACAGGCCTTGATGTTCAGAAAATTGGGCATTCAACTAGTTTCGCCCAACCAACTGATGAACAGATCATCTTCAGGATTGTAAATGATTCAGATACCAAGACTCGTGCTTGCCAATTTACATACGTTTGCTGCCCTATCAAGTGTACTCTGCATGTTAAACGTTCTTCTCTTCCTGTTCATCATGGGCAAGGAACACACAGATTAACACCATCCCCCTTCAAACAGCATGCAGTAGCTACATGCTCCACCCATTACTGGTTACTCTATCTTTCCGACAGATTTTAAACCTTAGAAAAAAGATGGAAAAAGAACCCCAATAAACTGAGCTGAATTTGCTCACATATAGATTTTACTCGACTCCATATAGGCAAAGCTTTAGAGCACTTAGCTAAACATATGAATTCACAAGCATCAGAAAGAGAAAGCAGGGCAGATTCACCGGTGACAGCACTTTGACCGTTCTGGATCCTTTAAACTACAACAAGAGTTTGATAGCAGTCGCTCCATGAGCTGAAAACCAATATGGTAGTTCATATGTCAGTATTGCCACCTCCATTGATACTACCACCAAATTGCCCAATGCCAAGAAACCCTCTGGTGAAACACCTTTAGTCTGTCAAGCACATGGTCCCTCATCTGTTGATGCCACTCTTAATACTGCAGAAATACACAAATTCAAACATAAATATATCAGCAGGCTGAGAAATCAACCTTCCCTCATTAAACATTTGTTTCTAACCAAGCAAAAAACTAAGAAGTTGCTGCTCAAGTGCTAACTGCTAACAGAACAGTCAGAAAACAATAGCTTATTATTTGGTAGGCACACTGGTGTGGACTCGTTCATTGGGCAGCAGTATAATAGGATGAAGAAGGATGTGGCTGCCTCTGGTGGCTAGAGCCTGGTCAATTAGATCAGCAAGCTGCGTCCTCAGCCGCTCATGTGCGTGTGCGGCTGCCTCTAGTGCTAGTGCATGGTCAATTAGCTAATAAATAGTAGGAAGTGTCCTCAGCCACGCATGTGCGTCATATAACCACTAGTGTGGCCGGGATTAGAGGCACGCAGAAGTAGAGTTAGCATATCAGAGCCTCACAGGGAGGGCGATTCTCTCTACTGCTGCTGTTCTAGTAATTCAGCCATTGTAATCACCTTCTAGTCATTAATAGAGTTCCCAGATTCCTAGCCATATCATCACATGCGTGGCTGAGGCCACTTCATCGGCAAGGCCTGCAACACTTGGAGCCCTCGCAACGCCATCAGTAGTGATGCCATCCGCACCGCCAGGACTGAAGCTGTCGAACAGGGTTGGCGGAATAGCAAACTCTCTGGCCTTGTTGTCCGCTCAGCGGGTGTTCTCCTCAGTCTTGGGCACCACACCACCAATGTCTTCTACATCAGCAGGCTTGCCAACAGCAACTCCATTAATTGTGGCGACACCCATGGCATCCGCGCCGTTCTTGCCAGATGTGCCACCGTATCCGACATTGTCGCCATGTTTATCAGTTGTGAACATGCCTGCCGCATCAGTATTGGCTGCCTTTGTTGAACACATCCTGACGGCAGTGGCATCTCCTTCCCCTGCGACCACCATGGCCCCACCAATGACACCAGCGCCAACACCCCCGCTGGCTGAATTGACTCCAGTGGCGCAATTTCAGACCTCATCTTCCGTCGTCGCCAAGATTGTTTTCTTCCAGCAGTTGACTGCTCAAGCGTGCTTCATCACCTTCAGTATTGCTCAGCCCCCAGTTCCGAGCAGGCCCACAGCTCGAGGACGAGCTGCTTCGAAAGGAGGTGGAAGTGGTGTGGACTCGTTCATTGGGCAGTAGTATAATAGGATGAAGAAGGATGTGCGGCTGCCTCTAGTGGCTAGAGCCTGGTCAATTGGATTAGCTAGCTGTGTCCTCAGCCGCTCATGTGCGTGTGCGGCTGCCTCTAGGGCTAGTGCATGGTCAATTAGCTAATAATAATAGGAAGTGTCTTCAGCCACATATGTGGGTAATATAACCACTAGTGCGGCCAGGATTAGAGGTAGGCAGAAGTAGAGTTAGCAGATCAGAGCCTCCCAGGGAGGGCGATCCTCTCTACTGCTGCTGTTTTTAGTAATTCAGTTGTAATCGCCTTCTAGTCATCAATAGAGTTCCCAGATTCCTAGCCATATCATCTGGTATCAGAGACCTCTCGATCCTCTCGCCTGTCATGGGTGACGATCTCCTCACCATCGCTGAGGGCATCTCCGCGAGGTATGATCGCATCTCTGTAGAGATCGATTGGATCTATGAGACGGTCCTCCAACTTAGAGATCGGATGAAGGCTCGGGACTCGTCACCAGCTCCTCCAATCCAGTCGTCCCCATCCCTGGGCACAATGGCATCACCACCTTCTCCCCCACCAGCGACGGCTCAGTCTGCTATGACAGCAGCCACCACATCTTCTCCGCCGGCAGCGCCGCCAACAGCTTCACATCCACCTACAATTGCGGCTGCACCAACAACTTCCCTGACGCCTCCACTGACAACGCCACCATCGCCTCCACCATCAGCGCCATCCCCACCTGTGATTACTCCTCCAGTCACCTTTGCGCCAGCCATGGTGAAGGAGAAGCACCAGGCAATTGCATGTCTAGCATTGATGTCCGCTCAACTGATGCAGATGCAGGCATCCTGCTTGATCCTGGCCACCTTTCTCCATCGGCAGCCCTGCTCTCTTCCCTGTGTGGCGCGTACCAACAGCCATCCGGCGGGGAGAAGGCATGGGGTCACTGGCAAGCTGCTGAGGTGTTGTCTCTTCATATTGTCATCCCATTTGCAGCATGCGCCATGGGATCCAGGTGGTTGTCCACGTGCAACTTATGCGTCTGGCTGGTCTCCACCGCCAATCGAAGAGGCAACAACAAATAAACCAAGACACATTGCTCAGGCTCGTCTCAA